GTATTTGCCACAGTGATCTTCTGGGTCCTGTACTGCAGCTGTGCTGAGCTACTTCTGAAGTAAAAATGCCGGTGTTCGATTTGAAAGTTCGAATCTATCGAGTTCTGCGACCGCCTGACTTCCGGTTTCGTTACAACTAAGAGGTTTGCCCAAGAAAGTTGTTCTGCATGAGTGCCAGCCAAGGCATTGGCCTATACACATACAGCACAGCAATGAAGTAATAAAATGAACTAGGATCACACTAATCCAGCAAGTTATTGATCTCAGGTGCCCCACTAAATATGGCCGCCTCTTGAGTGGGGCAACTCGGATTAATAACGTGCTGGATTACTGTGATCCTAGTTCATTTTATTCATTGCTGTGCTGTATGTGTATAGGGCAATGCCTTGGCTGGCGCTCATGCAGAACAACTTTCTTGGGCAAACCTGTTCTAACGAAACCGGAAGTCAGGCGGTCGCAGAACTCGATTAGTTCGAACTTTCAATCAAACACCGGCAGTCTCTTCCACTGTTATTTGCTCTGCACTCTAATTTCATTGGGAACATTTACTGACACATGTAGGAACAAGTGTCTTCATAAGGTGTTTTGTGTCCAATCCTATATTCTTATTGATATAAAATAACTAAGTTTTTTTCTGTAGTTTTATTTTGTCTATTTACACTCACTGTTTAAAACTCTGCTAGGACCCCTTATTCCCTTAGGACCCCAGAAATATCTGGATTAGTTTGTTCCAAAAGATTACGAAGTGAGTGAAAGATGAGCCAGGCTTAAAATCATTATGGGCATTCCCCAGCTAGTGTGACTTGCATGGTCTGTCGCAAGATTGCAGGTTGTTTCTTGTCATAAGTTTTTCCTCCTAATATTGGTGGCCTTTTGAGCAGGCCTTAGCCCATTTGTCACCAACGATGTTATGTGGTAACTGTGTCTAAAAATAAAGCAAGAATTTGCTACAAGTGCAGCAGTATGCTGTTAGATGACATGACATGTGGCTGTACAGTTTAGCAGTCACACGGTGCAGCTGGCTACATCTTTTTTTTTTTATTCCACCAAGACCCATATAACTATTCTCATTCACCTCTGTACTGTCTCCAGCTCTGTATGTTTACAGTCAAGTATTTAAAGGTAGCCAGGTAATTTTAAAGATGGAAGCATTGTCCATCCCTTCAGTCTATGGTCATTGCTACAGATTTTTTGACTAACTGAATGTAGTCAGTCCTTTTGGATTACACAGAATTTGCGTAGTTCCTTAGTGCTGGCAAATAAATGGATTTGTTGGCCAACCTGCATCTAATTTTGTTTTTTCTCTCCTATACAGACCCTTGAACGGCAAAAACTACCAGTATGATGAATACCACTTAAATTGTACACAAGGCATTGTGGTTCTGTAAATGTACTGCTAGGGATTTGTCAGTTCATGGGATTGGTAAAGCCTGTCTTTTGGGTGTCACCCAGATTATGAAGCCTGATTTACTTGGCAGTAATGTTGCTGTTTATTCACACCTTAATTGGAAAATGTTTTTAAAAGGCGTTGTTGTAAGTTGTTAAGCAGACGTTTCTAAAGATACATACAGCTTTCTGTCTCGGTAGTTTCAGGTCATTATATCTGAATGGTCTCTGCTGGTGATCGCTGACAGCATGCACGTGTCGAGTAGCAGTTGGGCGCTTCAGCCTCATAATCTGCATTTTACAAGATAAGAGGATACTGAAATTCACAATTGTATATAGTCACACTTTTTAAAAACGTGTGCATACGCAAGCAAAACTTTTTACTAGTTTCCAACAGTGCAGAGATAAAAGCCTCAATATAACATACTATTGTACTGCTGTCAGAAAAATTAGCCTGCCTTTGACAGGCTCATGTAGCCAGGCCAAGTGCCACAGTAAGGCAAGTATGTTTGATTACCGCTATGCATTTCAACAGTCTGGCATTGCAGTAATCAATAATCACAAAGTACCACTTTCTTCCCCTTTGCAAATCTGCTTGTTAGATGGGTGCACAGTACACACTACCATGAATGACCCTGTTTTCTTCTTTTGTTTTTCTGATCGCATTTTGACGATGGCACACAATTTACAAAGCCCAAGAGAAGTCAGCCTCCATTCACACTTGAACGCTAATGTTTTCAGGTGATTTTGAACCATGTATTTTGTAAATTTTTCCAGTGATTTTGAGGCTTGAGCATTTTTATTGTAGCCAATGGAAAGCTAGTCACTGGGAGAAAGATGTTTTGGAGCAAAATTGCGTGAAAAATGCATGTTCTCAAGTTTTTCAGGTGCGGTCATTGAAGTAATGCCTAAAATGTGGGATTCTGACCCCCCCCCCCCCCC